CCAATCGTCGAAATCTCCAAGATAATGCGTAATGTAATCAACCAATACGGCATGGCTACGTTCTAGGGCACCGTTAGTTTGCGGGCGGTAACCGGATGTAGTAACATGTTGGATACCAAACATCTTTGCTATGGTAGAAAAGATTTTATTTAAGAAACTGGTACCTCTATCCGACAGAATAACCATAGGAGTACTGAATTGTAAAACGAGATGCGTTACCAACGCGTGAGCTACTGTTTCCGCCTTAATATTTGGAACCGGAACTGCTATGCAGATTTCGAGAGACTGTCTTGCATCGTTAATATATGCCTGTTTCCATCAGGTGTAATTGGAAGAGGTCCGACGGTGTCTATTGCTACCTTCGCAAAGGGTTCCACGGGGGTATCCGTGATAACCATAGGTTCGCGCGTTTTATGTCTCGATATCTTCCGCGTCTGACAACTTGTGCATCCACGAATGTAGTCTTCTATCTGACTACGTATATTCGGCCAGAAAAATCGTTCGCGTATCCGTTGATATGTCTTCGTCACGCCTTTGTGTCCTCCCACGAGGCTCCCGTGCATTTCTGCAATAATTTCAGTTCTAATTTCGCTAGGTGGTAGTTGCATGCGACCGTAACAAAGGGTGACCTTTACGTTGGCGTCTTTGAAAATCTTTCTCAACAACCCGGGTAACGCATCCCGCGGTAACGTATCAGTAAAATCATCAAACCGCGAGATCCGGAAAGAATCTAAATCCAACTCGGACAACTTTTGCTTGAGTTTCCGTAAGACCGATTCTAATTTCACGATTGTCAATTCGTCATTGAAGTTCTTTCCTATTACGACGCTGAAGATTTTATTTTTACCGCGGTCCGCCACGATAATATTTCCCGGTTTTAAATTTGATTTTCGCAACGTTTCCAGATCCATTACGCCGATATCAACGAGTAGCTCACTAACCGGTGTCAATCGTAAATCACTGGTAAGAAAATGCACATAATTGTCTCTATAGTAGGTCAAGTTTTCCGACGCGAAAGTTACCGTTTTCGGAACCTCTATCTTTTGAGGCGGATCCGAATGTAGATCCTCCGAATCTATGGGTACGTTCGCGAAAGATGTGTGTGGTAGCACGTCGGTCGGTATTAATGCGTTTTCATTCTGTACCTGAGGATTTGGTTCTAAAACTGTCTTATTTCGTGGTGTAGATAAAGCTATGGGTGGTAAAGATGGAGGAGTAGTAGGTAATTGTGATTGGTGTTGAGGTCTGTATACTATGGTGTCTTGTGTAACGTCATGCGTCCGTTGCGTCAAGTCGTCTAGATGTTTGTGTAAGTCGTCAACGTCAGTCTCCGTGTTTAAGTTCCTAGCGACTTGCGTTTGCTCTAATCCTCCTTCCTCAGGGAAAAAAATCGAAAAATTCGTGGTCGCTATCCGAATAGGGTGTTTTAAAAAGTTCTTTATCGGAGTCGACATCGGCGAGGTCCGGCTCGAGTCCTAAGGTCTGGGGTATTCCCAGTGCTCGCGGCCATGACCCCAGGCTCGGTAGGACGCTCCTACGACGAACGAAGATCGGTGGTTCGGACGCATCTGAATCAGTATCGGAAGTATTACTGTCTGCAGTTATGTCTGTTGATGTATTTGACGTGATTATGATTACAGGTTTTGGTAATGAAAGGGGTGTAGTAGATAAAGGTTGAGAAGTTGGTTTGTCTGAAGATCTAACCCGAGTTCGAGTGGAGATGGCTTCTGGATCGTGAGTAGGTGGAGGTCTCGGTTTTGTTTTCGATCCTAACAGGCTTTCTACCTTGCGTTTGACAATCGCAGGCGCCAATTCGAAACCGGACGTTTCGGGTGTATCCGTAACCGGCAAAATGACCTCGGGCTTCGCAACAGGACGCGCATTGTTTGATTTGACAAGCGTGCTCGTACGTAGGAATCTCTTAATCGTTTTAATAACCGGAGGCGAATCACGCTTCTCCATACGGGGAACAGCCTGAGGAGATAATCAAAAGGTATCAGTTCCTGTGCAGGTATTGTTAGTTCGAGATCTTCATTGAGCGAATTTATCGCTAAAACATCACATACGCCCTGGTTAGTAACCGAAACAGCAGCTTCGCCGACATACAGGCCCTCAACTGTCGTTAAATGCAGCAAATAGCCCTCTTTTAATTTGTCGTTAACGACATCGATCGCGATAGGTTGTCTTGTACGAGCCTTTACGATATATGTACGCGGTTCTAATTTTCGTCGTTCACTGTAATCTAACGAACGCTGATCGACGAATCGGATCGGTCGAACCGTATCTGAGCTCGTGACTAAGGTATTATTCACGAACGAGATTTCAGCTTGCTCTTGGCGAAGATATTCCTGCCCTAGGATCCTGTTGATGTTTAACAGAAAATCTGAGCGTACGACATGGAATCGAACTGGTTTTCCTTGCAAATGAAGTATCGCGGTTCCGATTGTTCGATCCTTTTGCGGAGTAATATCCGTTATTAATGTAGCCTCGTGCGTGGCTATCGGAATATTCGTCAATAATGTGTCTAACTTGATTAAATTAATTTCTACTCCGGTGTCTATTAGAAAATGTGCGACTTTTGACTGAAAATCTGTGGACGAAATCTTGACTATCGGTATTTCACGATTAGTTTCTATCGATACTGTTTCCGTTGGAATGTGACCTGCGGATGACGCTCCGGCGATTGACGGCTCGTCGTCGCGTCGGTACGACGAGTCGTATTCAAGTTTAAAGATTCCCGTGCTGCTGGCGACGGTGACCTTCGGCTCGATGGTCCAGCAGTCGGCTTGCGTGAAGGTGGTGTACGCGGCCGTGAATCACGCGTCCTTGCAGGGGACGTTTCCCGTTTGTCGTCCGCTTGCGATCGCGCACCACACGTACATTTTCGTTCCTCCGTACTTGGTTCCTTCCTGTGCAATACTCTAACAGGACTCGGCGTTCTATCGCGTGAATATGACACGTTACGCGACGTTTCCATAGGTCGAATGGGCGAACTATACCGAGGGTACGCGTAGCTGCGATTCCTATTTGGACTATCGTTATATCGCGGTCGGTAATCATAATCATCATTTCCGCGATACTCGCGTTGGTAAGATGGTCGATGTAGATCGTACGATATGGGTAGTCTATCTTCAAGGCGCGTTTCAAGCTGCAGAGCAGCTTTTAGTGCGTCTGCCAAGGTTTTCGGATTTTGCGCTTGCACTCCATGTGCTATCTCATCTGGCAATCCGCGAAGAAATGCGTTCAGCGCGGTGCCCGTTATCGGTTTCAGGATAGCGGGCGCTTGTTCCCCGTGCTCGATTTTAAGGAAGTCCTCCATTTCAACTAACGAGGCTCGGATACGGTCATGAAATGCATAAACTGACTCGTCACGGTGCACACGAATATTAGCGATTTTGAGATAATAATCGTTAAACGTCCTATCCGGCGTAAATCGACGCTTTAAATGTTTTATCAATTCCGGGACGGTTTCAAACCTCAACCCGTGAACACTATCGCGAGCTTCTCCTCTTAGGTTGGAGATTACGAGGCGCAAAAACCCGCGCGTTGACGTCGTTGGGAGACTTTCCGCATTGTATTCTACTTCCGTTAGAAAGTCTGCAAACTGAGAAGAGAAGCTCGCGATAGCGTTCACATTACGCCCGGGCGTAACAATATATTCTTGTATGTGCGTAATAATAAAAATACTATAGTCTCTTCGATTATTTTTTAAGACCAAATATATAAGATTTTAAATTGCAAGGAAATTTAGAACTACTCAAACAATCTTGCATTCTAAATATTAAATTTCTAAAAGATTATTTATTTAAATTGCGACGACAGCCGCGGATCGGCGTCGCGCATCGCGGGCCCCCGCCGCGGCGGCATCCCCACTCCCGAGTAATTAGACTATAAGTAGGACCGATCGATGCGCGGATCGATGAGTTGCCTCGGGGCTTCGGCCCCGAGGGGACCTCCTCGGAGGTCCGGACCGGAGCACCAGAGCTCTCGACGCCATGGCTGACCTGGCGAAGAGATCTCTGGCCAACGGGCCGTAGCATTGCACTACGCTACATCCTGGCAGCTCCCCTAGGTCCAGCGGCCGTAGGCGCCTAGCCTCGTCAGTCCCGTGGTTGACCCGGGGTGACCAAGCTAGTGCGCGTTCATAATCTCTGCTGGTGCTTCCGCGGGGATTCCGAACGCTAGCTTACTCGGCACCGCAATTTGCCTTTGGCAGCCGATTCCGTCCAGCTTTGTGGCGTTACCCAGGCTGGCCAGGATTGGTCGTCGACTCGTTCGCTGTTCGGTTCTACCTCGGCGTACGAAAAGACGAGCCGCGTGAGGCAAGCGGGCAGCAACTCCACCGCAGCGCGAAACACCGTCGGCCCAACCGGGCCAATCCTATCCCGCCTCTACCTCCTTTGCGTTTGCGTACGTTTGCGTTTGTTTGCGTTCGCGCTCCGTTCAGCGCTTTCACTCCGCGCTCCGACATCGCGCCGTTAGCATGTAAGACCGCGTAGCGATGGCTACGACCTGCGCTAGAATTAAGGCCGCGTACTTTCTGTGATGGACCGGGTTCCGACCGTAGTTCATAAGTCCTGTACATTAGGCTTAAGCTTGGCTCCACGCGTCTAACCACCAGACGACATTTTTGATTGTAGCTCCCGAGGCAGGAGAGCACCGCCCGACCAGCCGGCGAGGGCAGCCGCCGTTAGATGCCCCCCCCTTTCTCGAATAAATATTTATTTTTCCTACTAACACCGACTCATTATTTACCGACCTGTTCCCATGCGAACCCTGGCACGGGGAAAACCGCCGCGGTGCGCAACGCCGTGCGCACCGAACCGACCGACCCCGTTACAAAATTATTATATAGTAAATTTTATATTTAACATATTTGATATTATTTGTAATATACCGTTGTTACATAAATATTTGGTATTAAAACCATGTGAAACTAACCGTAATACGCCACAAGAGTAGAAGAACTTTATAAGAATGAGCGTGCCGCAAGGAAGCAGATGTGGCGGCCGACCGCGAACCAAGGCCCAGGTCACCGAGGCGCCGGCCCGCAAAGCGACCCGGCCAAGCCGCGTCCAGACGCCGGCAAGGCGGCCACCCAGTGCGGAGCTGACACCGGCAAAGCGGACGGCAGCACCGTTGGCACCCGGCGACCGTCCGCCGAAATCACCGGCCAAAAGGTTGGCGGAAGCAGCAGCTTTGACCGTAGCACCGGATCTGGGGAACCCGGCACCAGCGACACGCAAACCGGCCCCAATATCGGCGGAGGCAGTGGCAGACGCGGCCTGGGCCAGTCACTGCAAATCACCATCACCGCAGCCACAGCCGACCAGGACACTGGCCGCCGCCTGCACGGTGGACCACGCGGACAGAACGGACCAGGCGGACACCATCCCGTACACCTGGGCGGATGGAACAGTAGTCCAGATCTACACCCGCATAAAACGACATCGTTTTACCCGCAATGGGCGCAGATGGACACTAATCTTGGACGACAAGGGAAGGATCATCCGCTGCGTCTACACAGAGGTAATTTTCCTGGCCATCCACATATTTCGCGTGACCAGCCGAATACGCCTGGTCTCCCCGGAGGAGAAGGGATCGCAGTCTTCCTTTGGACTGCACAGCGGTCCACCGATTCCACCTCCGCCACCGTCGATAGGAACGATATCCGCAGGATGATCCGCTCCGCCTCCTCCGCCAGCACCTCCGACACCTTTCGGCGGAGTACCTCCACCGCCGCCTCCGCCACCTGGAAGCATACCTGCTGCACCACCGCCACCTCCGCTCATTGGAATACCTGGAGCACCTCCTCCGCCTCCGCCTCCGGCAGGAACCGTACCGACAGGACCTTGACCTTTACCTATACCTCCGGTTGGAGGTTGGAACCCTGCAAGCAGGGCGTGTATGAGAAAAGAACCTCTATGTCCCGAGGTACCTATGAAACCGCTCTATTGGACGAGGATCCTGGTACCAGTGGTGCCCACGGAACGTGGCTCCATCGACGCTGGATTGACTGTTCGCAGTTGCCTTGTCGATTCCGAGGAAGCAAACCTACGAAACCAGGATGGCCGGCATCGCTTGGGTATATCGCTTGAAGAAGAACCAGGTAGTCAACGAGCTACGTAGACTACACCAGCCAACGCTGGGAACGTGGGTCCAGCTCCGGACCAGTCTAGTAGACTACGTCCGAGAACACCAGGACGAGTTTCCAGACAAACCACAAGACAAGCCGGGATACAAGGAGGAAGTCGACCGTACCCGAGATTACGAAGAGTTCCACGCGGAGATGGCCCGGGAATGGCTCCGGACACACCTGGGGAACCGTCCGGCCACGGCCACATCAACACCAAACCGCGGGGAAGAGACGAACGCCGAGACAACGGCGTCTCTAGCAGGTCTCACCAGAGCCAGTCGTTCGACACCACGAAGACCGGGTAAAGACGATGGAGATCATGAGAAAATGGAACTGCCATTTTGACGGACGAGACCCGCATGCGTCCCTGGAGCAGCTAGAAGAACTACAAGATGCGTACGGCCTAACCGACCACCAAATGCGTTCGGGCTTCACTCAATTATTACGAGGCGAAGCCCAAAAGTGGTACAGAAACGCAGCGAACAAAGTATGCTCGTGGCCGAACCTCCAGGAACAGCTACGAAAATTCTTCGTACCAGCCGGGGAAAAGAGGCGATTGGACCAGCAAATCGCCGGTCGCAAACAAGGTCCGGACGAGCCACTGAGGACCTTCATTAACGAAATAACCACGTTAATGCGCCGCAGAGGAGAACACACCGAGGCAGAGCTCCTAGACGCGATCTACTTCAATATGAAGCCGTCGTTTCAGCTGTACATCAACCGAGCTGAAATTAAAGAAGTCAGCGACCTGATCACCAGAGCAGAAACTGTGGCCGAGCTCATGGCCGCAGAACAAGCCAGCAAAACAAAAGGCGAGGAGCAACGTGCTGCCAGGACGATCGCTTGAATCTAGCTGGCACAGTTTTTTCATTTAAGTATCGTGTGGCTTTAGCGGCTTCATTAAACAGCTCATCATGTGCATCCTCCGCACCTATATCCATTAAAAATTGCGACAGTTTGGAAGTTCGGGATGATGCTACAAAATTGTTTATACTTAAACTTCTTTATATAATTACATTCACACTCGCCAAATTTATCTAGTATGTATATATGTATTGTCATGATATTACGATATTATTGTGAAATTACCTGTAATGCTTTCATTCGCTGTAAATTTATTCGCAGATGATCTTTTTATTTCTCTTTCTTCATTATTACAAAACAAGGATATTTTTTTTAATAAAATATCGAATGTCATTCTTTTCTGTATATCATTTATCAGACGATTTTTTACACGTGTATCAATGAGCATTGCAAGAATAATAGGCTCACAAGTATAAGTAAACTTGAACCTCTGTTTAAAAATTGTCGTTATATTTGTAACGAAATCTTGAAATAACTCATTAGAATGCTCTGTCGAAGTGGATTGCATTGTTTTTTTTATGCCAATCTTTCTCACTCGCTCCTCGTCGTGAGATGCGAGCGGGCCAAAGCAAACGTGACCGAGCTCCGAAACAATAAATAATAATTAATGAGCAATGTTTTTTTTTTATTCGCAAATGTTCGAAAGCTATGCTGCTGCTCAGTAACAGTATTAGAAAACGTTCCATAACGGTTTCATCGGTGTATAATGTACGCGTATACGTCGATGCTACGTACAATTATGGCCCGGCTAATTGCATTATCTAGCTTGCAAATGTGTGAAACTTGAACGTTGCCGCTCGTTCATTCGACGCGCGCATCGCGTCCAACTATGTTACCTGATTAACCAAACTGAATTATCATATTGGCAGGAATTATGTAAGTTACCCGTGACAGATCGATAGGAAAGCTGTCGATATTGATTCGAGCTACGAATTGCGAATAAATTATAAGGTCATCGTATACGTAACTACGTTAGAATAATTAGCGCAATCTCTGCTTTAATCAAAAGAAATAAGTCTACCAGTCTGATCATTCGATTTTAATATTTCACTCGTTGCCTTGTGATTTTCTTTAAATAAAAAGAAAATTAAGAACGCTTATCAGTCATGAATTCACACGCTAGTTTAGTGATACCAGAGTTCATTAGATTAAAGGATACCTAAATTTACGAGTATCCTACTGGACAAGAATCACGACCGTCCAATACGTATTATTACTACTTTCTCCGAACGGGTTTCAACATTTATCACGCCATAGAAAGGTGCTGTCGAGGTTCCGTAACGCTAACACGCGCGTTATAACGATTAATTAACACCCATAGTTAAAGAAAATGCTGGAACTTGTGTACCTCTTCTTCGATCAACACGTCTCAATTCAGTAAACGATAACACTCGATTCGAACGGTATCGGTGTATTTCTATTCCTCTTACAAAAATGTACCTCGGTTAGATTGCAACTATTCATTAATCTTCTCCCTGTCCAAGTGATCCGGCAATTAGCTCAATTTAGATAGTATTATATCTTGTACCGAAAAAGAATTATTTGCTTAGATCAAAATCCTGCGGAACATGATTTAATTCCCATCCTCGGGAAACGGTACATAATAACAGAGTCGTTTTAAATGATCTACTAGCTGGCTGAATTTGCTGGCGAATGTGTAAAATAATTGCACGTATCGTCGAGAAGATTACGCGCAAAAATTGAGGCTTATTTCAAGTTTCGTTTTAGTTTATTAATAACGCAGAATCGTGGATTGCGCTTATTAATAAAAATATCTGCATAGAGATCTCTGTATACGGGATGTTCCATTTTTATTTCAAAAGCTATCGATTTTATAAAATAATTTTTGATTTCTTTGAATTTTAACCCTTAAATTTAAATTTAATTTTTAATCCTCTTTTTTCTATAAAAAAAATTTTCCTTCGCTCCATTAACTTAAAATACTCGTGCCTGAAAAATATCATTTTGAATGTATTGCTTTTGAGACAGTCCGTATAGCGGCTACCAATTTCTGCTCTACTGAGCGTAATCGTTCGACCGTGATAATATAGGATGTATAATATATTACATGTAATACACGATACGTCTTGCTACGCCGGCCGCAATTATTCCGCACATTCTCCATCATTTCCTGTAGGTCAGTGTGAAATTCATTGCTTTCCATCGCTGATGTTTTCCGACATGTGTCGTTTGTTCTTTTTTTATCCTGCACCAGATGTGCCTGTCCTCGGAAACGTTTGTCAATGAGCATGTTCCCGTAACGATATCCTTTGTCCCTCGCATGAACCCAATGGTTATATTTTGTGCGTTTAATTAACAGAACGGGCTCTTTTTTTGACCGTTGCGCAGGATGTTTGTAATGAAAGATTCGTGGTTGGGTACGGAGAAATTTGATGGGATAAGGAAGTCGAAGGTGTAACTTTCTAGAGTATAATTATTAAAAACAAAATAAGCTATCGCGGATCTAGGCTTTCTTTAATGCATCACTTAATCGGTGCTCAGGAATTTTATCGCGCAAAAACATGATCCGTGAAAGGATGAAAATGTTAAAAGCATTCTTTTGTTTCAACGACCAGTAGAATCGGACTCGTTTTTACCATTTCAACGGAATTCGAGATTTCACTTGATAAGTACAGTTCGTTGCACAGCGGTTTTTGTGAACCATCCGTGACAAAGTGAAAGTTGTTTTTTCCAAGAAAACCGTGAAAATCTCGGAGCAAGGATTTTCTCGTCGTTCTAGAAATCTAATATAGAGATGTCTGGGGAAAAACGTGACGGGCCTTAGGAGCCATTTTCAGTGATACATTTCGCAATTGCTAATTAGGATACAAATTAATTCCAAAAAACAGACACACCATTCTGAATACTTGTTCCAATTTTTATTTTCTTATCATAATTACAAGTTACACGTCGAACTTTCATATTATTCCTTGTGTCGTCGTAAATCAATGCGTTTTTGCCACCAAATTGATGTCGTATTAAATATCTCGTTAATATTGTGCTGTTAAAAACTGCAATAATTGTTGGTCGTTATTAAACCGTTAGTGGCTGCTAATTACACTCGAGAGGGCTGTTGATTTACGATTCTAAGTACAACACACCTTTCCCCTTCCCATTTCTATTCACTTTCTTCCAATTCTTGTTCTCTATTTACGGGAGCATAATTACTCGGATGCTTTGGTCACGGTTACTATGTTACGACGAAAAGAGAATTCGATCGGCTTTCTCCGAATAATTTATCTGCCTCTTCCAAAGACAATTTACGAATCGGTGTTTAATTGAACGAAAGTAGGGTCCCGGTGTTATTTATCGAATGGTCGCGCGTTCATTTGCTCTTGATAAGACACTAATTATTCTTACCACCGTATTTTTCAACACTTTCATGAGCGCATATTTCGTGGGAATAAGAAAAGGAAATTAACTATTTCATATTAACCGAGTAACCGCATTTCACGAAATAATTGAAACGTACCGCTACTCTGCAAAAAGGAAAAATTAAATCCTACCAACTTTTCATCACGTGATTATATTTCTACATAGTATGAAAAGCAATCTAATTCGACGAAGAAAGCATATCACTGTAATTATCTCGTACTTAAATGCTCTTTTATAATGATACCTTTAAAGCTTTCATATTTTATGTGAAAACATTCTGGATATTATATAGAGTAAGAAAAACACGAGATAGAACTGATACCATGGAGAAAGTGTAATAAATAACGTGACATTTTCTCTGTGAGTCTTACAGTTTTTGTGTAATTTGTTACTGGATCAGTGTTCTTAATAAATAATTATCGATTAGATTCTAAATTATGTTAAGGGGATTAAGTACACTTTCTACACTTTGTATCAGAGTTTCATACATTTAAAAAAAAAAAAAAATTCATTTTAGAATATCCTAGTTTGATGAAAGCGAGACTTCGGTATCTCTCCGTCTGTGAAATCGTGTGCGTACTCGTTTTTAATGGCACGGTGTATAGTTCGAAAGAAGAAAGTACCGGAGGAAAGTATAAACGAAAAAAGGGGTCACTGAAGCCGTACGAAGTGAATATGCGTATAGATATAAGCAGCTTGACCTGAAATGTCTGTTCGATTATTCCTACTGACATGACGCGATGCCAAAAAAAGACACGTGTATCGTGTTCGGTATTAATAATCAAAACTTTTTCGTTACATAGAGACTGAAAAAAAAATTTTATCGTTATAAAGATCAGCTACTTTCGAAAGTAACTTTCACCAGGAGCTAGCAATGTTTATCAAGAATTTACGAAATATAAAATAAAATTATTTCCTCTGAATTGAACGGTTGTGTCATTATGGAATTTTATTTTTTTCAGGTATGTTGGAGAAATGGGAGTCCCTTACGACCAGAGTCGAGGAAACACAAATGGCGAGCGCGCTTCATCGCGAATTGACAGCTTTGCAAACGGAATTCAAAGCAGCACACGACAGGCTCTTCTCTTATGAAATCGCATTGGAACAGCCGCACGTGTTGGATGAGCGCATCAATCGTATCACGGTAAGAATTGTGTAATCGCTAATTACGATGCAAATAACACTGCACGTAGCAGTTCTGTCTCGTTAAGCTCTCGTATAGACTCGAGTATCAAAGTCTGCGCGAATAAAAAATTTGAATTCGATATAAGAGCGCATACTTTCGCGCGTTTTCTTTCAAACGTTTCTGGTTCGTGTCTAGTATAACAATGTCGGTAATGGTTCTATTGTCGGTAAGCGAAGTAGGTTTTCCTTCACCGGTCGGAGCTAGAACAGAAATTCACTATACCAACTATGAAACAGGAAACCCTTTTACCATGTTTGCGACCTGTAGATGGCGGTATGTTGTTCCGTTTTTTAAAGTGGGAAATAGACAAGCGCGCGACTAGTATTAGAAAAGAAACATTTAACTTTTTTTTAAAAGTATATCTTCTTCAAATTAATTTGTCTATCAGCAAATTTCTGAAACACTGAAATTTCTTTAACTTATTGTTAATTCATTTTCAACAAGATACATTTAATTACCATTGAATTTGATAGCGATCTATGCGGAACAAGCTTCGGCATTATTAAAACCATCGCGGGAAGATGGTCGCGGCGCAAGTAGGGTGGGACGAGTTGAAAGTAGGCGAAATAGAAGTAAGAAAAAGAGGGAAAGGGGGTGGTAGCGTAGAGGGTTGAAGTCGGGAAGTGGGCGTAGAGGGTGGCAGCGAAGGAAGACGCAGAGGAAGAGGAGGGAGGGCAGTCAGGAGGCAAGGATAGAGGCAGAGAGTGGCGTAAAAGCGTAGTCGTGTCGCACGTACGCTCGTCTGACGGCGACGTGCTCGGCATCGCAACTCGCGAGTGAACGCCGAGCGAACCTAGCCAATCCTCTGAGTTTCCAACCCCCGAGAGTCATCCCTGCCTAACTTCCCAGCCCTCTCTGGAAACCTCTGGAACACCCTACACCTCCACCTTCCGCTCGCCTTCTCTGTCGGTTATTTTCTACGATTTTCTCCACCGAAGACTCTCCTTCTCATTTTCGCTTTCTTCACTTTCTTCCCTTCGATCCATCGTCCTCCACTTTTTTCCTTCCTTCCTTCATCTTTTTCTTGTTCGGGTATCCGGCTTCCCCTGTATCCCCGACATTATCCTTGTCGGCCTCATTGCGAAGACCAAACACATGCTCCCTATCTATCATCAAGATGTATTAGCGTCCAACATTTGCCGGCTGAACTGGTCGGTGTGCTGCATTATGCAGCAGGTAACCCAGACGCGAGGATGTCTGGCCACCAAACCTGACATGATCCATCTTGTTTTACATGTTTCTCCGCGGGTTGTACCAGCCTTGCGAGACGTAACAAATAATCTGCATTCGATAGAGTACCTAATTCCCATTTTCAGTGTTCGCAGACTTGGCTCGCACGGACGCGAAGCATGGAACTTTTTCCTCTAATCAACGCCGTTTATCTATTTCTAAAGCAACGATACGATTGACCTGAAAGCCGGTCAATCGAATGGTCGCATTCAGTTCCGTGTCGAGTGCCGATTCGACGTTAAATCGTGGACGAATCGATTAACCGCGATCGTTCACAGGTGCAGCGACGGCGACGAATATATTTGTCATGCACGACGTACGAGGAAAAGCGCGACGGAATGAGCGAGTGGCACGGCGGCTTGTCGCGCGAATCAGCATGGTATGTACAACCGCGTGTATTATGCATTCGTAAACAGGCTTCGATCGAAGCCAGTGGCTGGCTATTCCGGACAATCGTGCCCGCGACTCGATCGCCTCTCCGTGTTGGACCATTGATTACGTTATTGCGTAATTCCAGACGAACATTGCCTTTCGATATTCCGCTCATTAGCGCTCGTTTCCGCTTTACTCTGCGTGATCCGCCTCTGGACGCGTTCTAAGCTCCGACCGTGAGAAAAGTGCTTCGTTCAGGATCTTGTACCTTTTTTTTTCCTAAAAAGAATGAAACAAAGAGGTTTAGGAATAGTATCGAAGAATTTCAGTCTATTGTTCTTGAGTCTTTTTTCGTTGAATGGTTAATTGAAATGTTGGCAAATTTTCTGAACAATCATAGAGTTGATGTATCAGCAGGAAAGACAGGTAAAAAGCTAATTTCTCCGATCGAACAGGGTACGCGTGGCCATGAAGAGAGACAGGTCTGGTAGCCTCATAGGCATGCAGAGACCGAACGGCAGCCAGCCGACCGCTCTATATACCGAATTCGAATCAATTGATTGGCTGTTGATTGGAAATTGAATTAGATCGGAATGTGCGTGTCTGCGGCAGGTCGGGCTGGGAAAAGGAAGTAGGGAAAAGCAGGAAGGGTAGCAGGCTGAGGGAGGGAAAGAGGTAGAGGGTAGAGGGTTGGTGTGGAGCTTTGGACTGGGGCCCCATAGGGAGAGGGGGGGTTCATGCGGTGGGTGGTTACGGGTATGGAGCGGGCTGCTTCTGGCTTCGCGATGTGCCTGGAATATCAATGCCAACCACTTTTCGTTGCGACCGCTGTTGGACAGCGGTGCAAACCTGCGTCCGTCTTTCTCTTCATCCCCATGATTCTCCTTCTCTAGTTTCCAAGAGCAAGCCGACTGTCCATGCTGGTACGCACATCGAGGGTGAACCATCGCGTCTCGCCATCGCTTTTCACGCGTCTGACCTCTTTGATACCGTGCCCGGAATCACGCCTGTATCCGTCGTTTACTCGTGCTCGGCTTTGCATAAATTATTGCCTCCCATGAAGAATATCGATTCGCCGTCGAGTCTTTCGCGAACACTTTACTTCGAGCTACGATCAAAGCGTTCGGTGAGGTCGCGTTAGTAACCGGTTACCCATTTCTACAATTGAATTTCTTTTACAAAAAAAGAAGGAAAAAGAAAGCGAAAAAAAATTGCTGCTGTGTATACGAAAAAGGTGCAGAGATCGAAATCAAATGATAATGATAGATCACGGTAGCTGTAACGGATGAAAAACGGTACGTGACATGCGTGTTACATAAATCTGATCTCATCAAATCCCATCGACGACATCATAAATCTTAAGCTTTCTCGATGCAGTCGAGAGAAATCCGTTGATCGATGAAGGCTGATAAAAGTGTTAAATCAAGACTGAATGTTCCCACTTTATCAAAACCTGTTTAAACGACAGAAACAAAAATTCATTACTATTGTGTAATTAAAACAATCTACTCTCTCCTATTAATTCACTAGAAACAAAAACGTTACATTTCAAAAAAAAAAAAAATTCCGTCAGTCCCAAAAGTTCCTCGATTTTTCATCCCTCGATTCACCGCCCTGAACTTTCAATTTACCAGAAAGCGGGAGCTAGCTTTTGGTAGGAATTCGTGTTCGTTCGAAGATCGACGTACAATATAAATGCAAGAAGGAAAGAGTAGTAAAGCTTGTCGTTTCTTCGGCAGAAATTACTCGGTAGAGTACGGGTTGTAAGCTGGATGACCGCAAGTAGGACGATCTTTACGATCCTCCCTCGAACACCGGCTCTGCTCGTCACGCGACGAGAGAAACGACGAGACACAGAGGGGTAGGAAAGACGAGGAGAAAGGAGAAACTAGAAGCTCTCGTTTTCGTTCTCCTACGTCTTGCGTCGCCCTCGTAAACCTGGCTTTATTTATGCTGCCCTCGTCGGTCGCCCGCTGCAGTAGGACGACGGGAATGTGACAACGTGACGTGGTTACTCCATCGTCTTATCTCTTGCGCTCTTACAACCCTTATAGCTTCGGTTATGTTCTTCCTGATAAACGTACGTTTATTTCGTTGTTGATGCCGACCTATCCGCTCCTGCATATTATTTTCGTGGTCGACGTAGAGGAAGAGGGTAGTTTGGGTTACAGAGACTTCGATGCTTCTTCAATCACGAGGGTTAATTATTTTTCAACGGATGATAGCTCAATTTTTTTCTTTCCTGGGAAAAATATTTAAGTATCGTTAATTTGAGAAATCGGTCAGTCGGTACTATTATTCGTGAACAAAGCTTCTTTATCCTAGTTGTACGTCAGGATTCAGGTAGTGCGGTAAGTTTTCTTTAGCCTACCACTGCGATCAGTTTATACATCACTTGCACCCCTCGCTCGGTGGCGCGAGAACCGAGCGAGCAATTCGTTTGAGCTAACCGAACAGGGCGACCACTAAAAATGTATATTTAATGTTCTAGACCGAACTGGCTGCGTTGAGGGATCGCAAGGCGGCGATGCTGGCTCTGAACGTCTCCACGCACAGACTGATCACCGATCTCGGTAATTCGGTCTCCTTGATCTTCACGGCTCTCAAAGACGGCGTGGCGGATCTCTATCGTGTTTGGGACGAAACCTTCGAAAAGTGAGTACCTTCTATGAAATTTTTTATAATCGCTTAATTATTGAGTAATCGTTTAAGCATTCAGAATAAAGAAGATTAGAATTACTTTAGATATTTCTTACGGCGAGTTTCTTTTCCTGGTAAGGACGCAATTATCGAGTTTCGAACGGTCCGCTTGAATAGCTGCTTTAGGATCATTGACTGACCGTTGGTTGGTCGACGCGTGACGTTGGGCAAATATTATGAGAGGCAATGAAGCCAGGAAAGCAAACACCGGGAATCCCGTGGAACACCATAGGCAGCAAGGGCTCGGATCTTTGGGATTTCGACCCGTGTCACGGGATTACTAGTTTTAGCCGGGATCGCCAGTTTAAGCTTGGACATTTCTAAAGTGACCGCCACCTAGAGGAAACGTCTATTTGAACAGTTTCTTTTCAATGTATACCCTGGCGACCAGTTTTGCCATTACATTACAGAAGCTCGAAAGGTTGAGAGACTGATGTTACGTCATCGAGAAATAACCTAATTATTAATCATTTAATTTATTTTCAAATTATACACGTGATATCGTTTGCATACATATTCAGATACATGGTAATGTTACTCGAGCCAGATGAAGCAAATCACAAACCTTGAAATTGATATGTGTTTCTGCGGGGGAGGCGCACTGGTCGAAACCTTGTTTTAATTGCCGTATGAGCACTTGATTCCCCTATCTGATAGGGGTCTGACCCATGCAAAAGGGTTGACCAGTGATTCAGTGGGCTTTTACAAAGGTCACTCTTATCCCTCGGTACTGAAATTCCTATTCTTTGCACGAACGCGCACCACTCTTTTTATACACAACGTACAAATCGACCGTTCTCACCCAACCGATTCGTTTCTTTTAACGTTTCCGTCGCCGTTTCTGTATTCATTATTTTCCGATTTTTCACTTATTCGATTCGCATGCCAATGCGGAGGAAAACGAGCAGACCAGTCTTTCTGTAGGGCGTTCGGATTGGTCTCGGATAAAGTGTTTCTGTTTGCCGATAGTGCCATCGGGGAGATCCACTAATAATTTGACGTCTTACTGTTTGCCGAGAGGCAAAGCCTCTCGTTCTACTTTTTATTGTGTTGACCCAGACTGCGATTTTTCCATTCAATTTTCCTGCTAGCTTTCACCGATCCCGGGAATCGGGGATAACTGTCTATCCGATGGAATAGATACTTCATCGACCGAAGAATAAAAACGTACATTTATTTACAAATTAGTTTAGGAATAAATAAAATTTCCAGGTATAAAATTCCTATTCAGTCGTGTCCTATAGAAACTTGACCATTTCTGACCAGGTATTTCAAAGAGGTTTAAAGTTCCTCGATTTTCAATTAGAGGCATAAAATCAGCCCGGTTCATGATCCCAACCCCTCCATGGAACTCAAGGTATCTTAACTGTATTTTTCAGGGGAAATCAACAATTGTGCGCCCTGCAAGCAGTCCAGCAGTTTAGTATACGTTTGGCGGAGCTTCAGTGCGCATTGCGAAGGGATAAAGACACCCTTGCCGTTTCGGACGTTGCTCTGCAAGCAGGGGCCACGTAGGAAGTTGCTTCTTCTGTTCGTCACGTTGCCATGTTACTGTCCGAGAAACAGGACATGAATTGTCAGGTAAGAATTAAAATTACTTATTAGAAAATCATATGTTTCGCGTTTGTACGAATGTTGAAAACGATAGGAAGATACCCTCTGCATGTACGAATCGTTATAAAATTGTGCTATAAAATGATAATGGTCCGGTATTTTGAATCCCGGGATGTTCGATTCCATTACAAGGTGGACGTGTGCGTCGTCGATCTGTAATGTGTGACGATTAAAGGCACGAGAATGGCTAAAGAGAAGAATTCAGAGGCGAGTGAGGGCCGTTAAGTGCGAGCGTTTTGCATCGTGATCCACGTCTTCGCTCGGATAATGGCTATCCTCGAGTCCACGCTCGGTTCCTTTTATTCCTTTCGTACTTCGATCACGCCTTTCTCCTTTATTTCGCCTGCCTATAATGCCTATTACCATTTATACGGATCTCCCGCTCTCGATGCCCACCCTTGCCTTCTCTTACGTTCGAACAAGCGAGATTACCTCCTCCATTATTCACGCACGAAAACTGATCGATCCAAGGATAGATTCCTGCGTTTCGTGCTTTCTGCGAATACTTTGTTCATCTTCAGTAATCATAGATCGGGAATAATATTCGGCGTTGAAATGATTGACGTGGACGAAATCTTAGCCGATATTCCCACGGTATCCTTGATTTTCAATCGGTTAGATAGCTGCCAGCAATTATTCAACGTCCTTGGATGGGGTAACGATCCCCGTAGGTATCACTTGTGTGAATGAAACCATTTCCCCGCTTAGATTGGCTGAGATGGAAGAACTCTGGGGATATGGGTCTCGTAAGGAAAGGCGAGATTATAAGACGAATCATGTTTATTGGTTCGTCTTTGAGAGAAAGCTTTTCTCGACTTTTGTTTTTTTTTTCCTCTGGTCGAAGAAGCAAGGTAGTCCTCCCTAAGGAATCGGAAGAACGTGTTTGCGTTTGGTATAACGGATTCGAAGTTTATGTTGCAGATAAAATATTTAAAAGAAATATTTCAAATCTAAGGTGGAAATTATTCAGTTTATAAACGAAATGAATTAAAAGTAATTTAAAGTGATTAAATATTTACATTTATAAAGTCGTATTCAGGGTCAAGTTGGGTGATCTAAATTTTCCGGAAGGAGGTAGCCAAACGAGGGAGAGAAGGGGTGAGATTAAAGGGTACGTTTGACAGATGACACTTGTCGATATCGTGTTTCGGTTAAACGCCATCGCATCCCCCTATTTCCACCATATCCGTCTTGCATTTGCATATAAAGTAAATCTCTTGGCAAGCTCGGCTCGCGTCCGCTCTCTCCGCTTTATGGACTTAAGGAGAAAAGTAGCTGGAGGTGAAGCAGGTGGCAGGTTTGTTATCACGACTTGCGATTGGCCTGGCCGTGTGCTACGCTCTTGTTAGAGAAACGTGCCGCCCGCCACGCGATATTTCCACCTCGACGTTGCTCATTTTTTTAACTCTACCCTCTACGCGATTAGAATAACTGCTTCCCGGCCGGATACGTGACCAACGGAAGTCAATTATTCCATCTCCTTTCAAACATTCTCGTTGTTTAATTAAAAGCGAAAGGTAATTAACAGGAGAAAAATTAAGATTTTTGAAAGAAGATAGATTGTTAATTAAGTTCAAAAATTTTGTCTTCATATGAAATCATTTATTTATTTATTTATTTATTTATTTATTTATAAGTCATCCTGCGATACACGAAAGTGAGAGAGGTAGAGAAAAGCAAGGCGAGCCGAGCAACTTCCAATTGTCCCCGTGCTTATTTCGCCTGTCTGAAAGACGTATGGCCCGCGACACGATATTTTTACCCTAACAAACGTGTAAGGAACGGGGGGTGGCAACCCCGGGGTGCGTTAGCAGCAGCGTAGGAAGCTGTTCGACCGACGCGACGCGACGCTGCGAGCGTATTCAAAGTCCCGTCAAGACGAAGTAATCCACCGGGCTGACTGCTCGGTTTCGTCGATCTACAACACTCGAGGGGATAATTTCATGCACTCGACGTTACATCTTTCTTTCTCCTCTTTTCGATACGACGACCCTTCTTAGCGAGCTAAGAAACGCTCGACATTATACGACCTTACCCTTATCCCCCGTCTCTCGCTGATTCTGTTTCAAGGAATTCTGATTGGAACGATAAAACGAAAGGGGGTGGCTCGAGATATGTAATAACTTCTACCGCGATGCTGATTCTTCTTCCGTTTAGATTTCCTCGGGACGATGAGCTTCGATTAGTTGTGCTTTTTCTTTTACATTGTATATTTTTCTTTTCCCGGAAGTCCTCCTTTAAACACAGAAAGGAAAACGTTGCGCGAACATTAAATTTCATACGAACTCGTGATGGTTGGTCTGAACGTGAAAAATCTATAAATTTTGATAGGCATTAAATAAAATATTAGCGAATAGGTTGGTGGTGGGCGAAGGGAAGTTTCAGGATCTCGTACGGCCGATCAGGGGTGTTGGCTACCTCAGAGGCAGCGACTCCCCAGGGAGCCGGGATCGTTAATCGCCCGAACGATTCCCTTTCCACTCACGTACGGCAATGGGCCGTGGAATCAGCGTAAAAATACAAATTTAATATCGCCGGTGGATCGTTCGACTGACCAGTTGTAGCCTGCGGATAAAGCGGTGTCGACGAGCCACCACCACGTTTTTACATCGACTAAAAACCTTTCCGGTTATGCTGAATGTGACATATTTAGATCACTTATTTCTCACACATTTTAATCCTCCGATAGCGGAGCAAAGTATTTTTTTTTTTCTGACCAGGATATCTGAGATTATTTGCTCGACATCTATAATTAATTCCGTTCCATAAATTTTTCCCTCCTCTATCCGTCATGCCCTTTAGATCGTTACATTAGTTTCATTCCCGTCGCCAAGTCTTAATTATACGCCACGATCGAATTAGATTAGTCTAATTATAAGAGCGGATGGGGGCAATTTGTAAACCTGACTTCTCTCTACGATGCAACATACAACTTCATCGATGCTATCTCATCCTCTAAAGAAAATCCGAGTACTTATTAAATAGTTAGCGAAATATTTTCTTATAATATCGTCAATAGCGAAAGAATTTCAGGACTCGAAGAACTTATAGAATTCGAAGCTCAGTCGTCGTAGGGCAGTAATAAGGAATTCTCTCAGTTTTCTTCTAGGTGATTGGTCCTTCGGGCATCGTGGATTCTCACTCGACTCACTTCGTACCTACTATCCGTTATACAAGAGTATACCGACTTATAAATAGGTTAGCTGGAAGGTTGCTACTTGGTATGCGGATCGCGCTTTTCATTATCGGAGCCTCTCTCCCTCTCCTCCCTCTCGTCCGTTGCAACAGCCTAAACCAACCCTCTCTTTCTTCCGCCCTCTCTTCTCGCTTGCTTTCCACCCACTCACCCTTTCGCTCCTGTCTTCCTTCTGATCCTCGCTCCACACCACTTTTTTACTATTACCACTGCTGTCTGGTATCAACGTTTCGTGTCGCGGCCTTGTGTCCCTTTTTTTTTGTTCCTTTTCTCTCGTATCCCTCTCGCTTTTTCTCTCGTTCCTCCTCTCACGGAGGGAACAAGTTCATATCAAAATTGAAACGGTTACGTGACACTGGTATCAGTTGCGCTGGATGGGGGTTGTTCAAGAAATATCGCGAACCGTGGTTTTTCGGGAAAATCGAACGGTGATCGACGTGTACGATGTTCCTTTATACCTTTTCTCGATTCCGACTGTTGTTTTATGGGTTCTTAACTGAGAAAGTATCGCGGGATTATAGAATCTTTAAAAGTTATATAATAAAGATGTAACAAAGATTAGAAATGTAATAACATATTTTGTGTTCATCGAGTTTTGAGTTTCATTTTAATTTCTAGTTGTCATCATACAGCCCCGAGTGCCCCCTTTGCTTCCTTTCTTTCACTCACCCTATCTGCCCCTTCTTCGACTATATAATCGTCTTATACGCCTTCCGGTTGCCCGCCGGCAATAACCGACACTGGATTATGCAATATTCGATATCGTATTCTCTCCCGGGGTGTATTTATACCTATCAGCATCTCGTGATCTAATCAGGAGAATGGTTTAAGCACATCCTTTCGTGATTTTTCTTCGTAATCGATCGCCGGGAGATCGGTAGCACGGGCGTGCTCGAAAGTAAATGAAATTTGTTATTTCAAGTGTTAACGTGGAAAAATCCTTCGAAATTTTTCTATCATCAGACGTATTATCTACCGCGGAGCCATGTTGAAAAAGAATGCCAAAGGAAAGAACAAGAATAGCGGTGTTGTTCGGGGTGAGTTAAAAATGCGACTCGCGGTGTTCTTGTTGCAGAACTGCACCGTGTTGAAAGACTCGAGCACGGAGGAGGTGAGCAGCGGGGCGTCGACGAAATTCGGCGACTCGTCGCCGATCAGTCTGACCCAGGAAGGTGGCTCGTTGTCCGACAGTGGCATCTCCGACAGCGGAAGCGAGCAGGAGCTGAGCGAACGTGAACGCAGGCTGGCTGCACTTCGTCGATTAACGCGCAGTTTGGAGAATCAACTGGCACCGGGAAGCGAGGCGCTCGGCCAGCTTTGGAAAAGAGTCGAGGACACGGAAACGGAACTCCGTGATCTTCAGAAACAGTGCCGGGAACTGATCGTACGCACTGCGGCAAGTGTCGAAGCACGGGCCTCCAAGCGGACGAGCAACAGCCAGGTCCATCACTACTCAGAGTGAGTACCTTTTATTTTCTTTTATTTTTTACATTAATTTCCCTCGCTTAAAAATGAATCCTTTAACACCCTGAATTTCGTGCATACACGATAGCGAACGGGTTAAGAAGCTAGGTATTTGAAAACATTTTTCTTGGTGTACGGTCTTGGTAGTTTCTTAATTTATTCAGACGCTTCGAGACTTTCGAGGGAATAAAGAACGATTCTCCTCGGCTCGCATTCCATTTGCATAACGTCGAAATGAGAA